TGTGAATTCAGTTTTCCATGTCATGAGTAGGTAAACACATTAAGACCTTGATTTAGCACTCAAGGTCTGCCTTTATATATTCCTTTTTTATTTTCCTGAGACACGGTCTCACTATGTAGCCCTGGAGGGCATGGAAATCACTATGTAGACCAACCTGGCCTGAGATAGACCTGCTTCTGCCTCTGCCTCTTAAGTGCTGGGATTAAAGGCGTGCATCGTGCCTATCTAATTTGCATGGGACTTAGGAAACTGAGAAAAATGGAAGGTGGCTACCATTACTTCCTTGAGCTGCATTGTATAATACACACCTTGCATTTGTCTTAAAATGTTATTTTATTGGAGTGCTAAAGAACTTAGGAAGAAAACGAAAACCAAAACCAAGTATCATTCCTAGTGTGGTAGAGAGGGCATTGCAAGGAAGTTATATTACAAACAGAAGGTAGACATATTTGTGTCTGTTCTACAGTGTCAACATTGATTGAATAATAAGCCCACAAACAATATCACTTTCATTGGCTTTACTCAGTAGTTCTAATTTCCAAATTTTATTTGCTACTCGTGGATATAGACAGTCTTACTAAATCAGACCACATATTGCACATCACAATTATATATAAATTATATATATCATATATAAATTATACATAAATATATATCAGCATACATGTTACAGAAAAGGTAAAAGTGGCAGCAGGGTTCAAGGGGCAGGGGGGCTATATTGAAGGGTGAGCCAGAGAACTGATACTCATGCAAAGTAAGGTCTCTGGAGTGTTCAGAGCTAGCAGTTTGAGATCCAAGGCTCAGGCAGGTTCAAATGTCAGTTTGTGTTGTTTTGTTTTGGTTTTAGTTACTGTATGAGACAAGGTTCCATGTAGCCCAGTGTAGCTGCTAACACGGTGTAGTTGAAACTGGCCTAAATGTTTGATCATCTATCATCTGGACACTGGAATTGTTTATAGGTGTGTACTATGACATCTGGCTTTCAAGTTCCAGTTCTAAGTGGACTGTATGTCATGGGAAAGAAGCTGCATTTGAGTTACATGCATCTTGAGGACAGAAATGGAGGTCCTTCTGTGGTGTGTTCCTAGGGGAGGTTCCTGCAAGTGACCAGGTAATGAATGGGTCACTGTGCCCAGGTCATAGTCTTGGAGTGGTCCTACTTGTATAGTCCCACGTCAGGGGACTGGTACTTCATATATCTGGTGTGATTGACAAGCCCATGTCTCTGGTGTTTCTGATAAAATTAGATAATATTCACATATTTATTCATTGCTTTAGTAGATTGCTTAATGTTTCATAGTACACTGACAAGTGGTGGTTCTTAACTTACATCAACAAGTTGTAGAGCCATTTTACCTCAGCCATTATACTTACAGTGGAGTAACTGAGGTGAAGGCTATTGCTTTACAAAATGCAGTAACTCAAGGCATAACCTAAAACCTGTTTCTTTGGACAGCATGGAGTAACCCGGAACAAGGTATCCTGTCATCCTTGGAGGGATTGGGTGGCAGTCAGTCTTCTGTGGGGGAGGAAAGGCATATCTGCCATGTTTTCCTAAGGCCATGTTTTGCTTTTTCTGAGCTCGTCTGTAATTGCACAGGCAATCCATATGGGTGCTGAGAAAGGCCAAGTTGCTAAAGACCAGACTTCCCCAGTATTGGGAATCTCCTTGACACTTTCAGACTAGTCCTATCACCTGTCAGAAATGGACCTATCAAGACCTTAGTTTGGTATTATTGAAAAGCCAATGTCTCTGGTGTTTCTGCCACCATGACGAATGGCTTAGAGATGACAGTTGAAATACACTATTGAGCCACAAAGAAAAATGTTGTAGCCAAGGGTATTTCCTCTTTAGACCACTTGATGTTTGTATTTTTGGCTATAACAGATGTGAGCAACCTTGAAAACATCAGTTTTTGTGTTGTCTGTCACCCATTCTGTATGGAAGAAAACCTTGGAGATTGGGATGGAGGGAGAAGAAGAAAAATTCATAAGAAAAACAGACTTGGAGAAAGTTGTGAGAAGCTTGATTTCATAGACACATGTAACAAACATCCTTAGATAGAGGAGAGCAAGAAAGGAGATGCCTTGATAGAGGGAGACAGTACAGGTTTGGAGAGAGGTCTGGCACAGGGGAAATGTTAGGGGATCCACAGGGATGACCCCAACTAAGAATCCAAGCAGTGGTGGAGAAAATGCCATTGATGCCTTTCCCCTATAATGAGATTGGTGTCTACTTTGGTTCCCATTCCTCGAGCCTTCATCCAGTAGCTGTTCCAAGCAGAGACAGGCACCCACAGCTAAGCACTGAACCATACTCCTGGAATCCAATTGTGGAGAGGGAGGAGGGATGAGCAAAGGAGCCAAGACGGTGCTGCAGAAACCCACAGAAACAGTGGACCTGACCTAGTGAGAGCTTGGAGACCTTAGTCATAAAGCTGTAGAAACAGCATTGGATCGAAAGGATGGCCTAGGCCCTCCCCCAAATGATATGATGGACTTTGAAGGTCGCCTGTGGAGGGCCTCACTATCCCTGGGGAGGAGTTGGGGGATGGATTGGGGGGGGTTGGTGGGGAACATGGGAGGATGGGAGGGCTAGGGAATGGGGGGTGGATATGTAAATATTAGTGGTAATTAAAGAATTAAAAAAAAAGAAATGCAACCCCCCCAAACATCTTTAGAGCCTTTGTAAGTATACTTCTTTTTCTATTTTGGGTTTTTGGAGACAGGGTTTCTCTGTGGAACAGTCCTGGCTGTCCTGGAACTCACTCTAGATGTCGCTGGCCTTGAACTCTCAGAGATCCGCCTGCTTCTGCCTCTCGAGTGCTGGGATTAAAGATATGCATCACCCCTGCCCAGCTGTATGAAAAGGATTTCAAGATCACATGTGGCTCTTTCAGATCATTGTGTGGTTCTGAAATCCATGGCTGAATTTGGAATTGCAATTCTCCAGACCTTCTGTTCCCTGAGTCCAGTAAAAGTCATAAATTAGGATTTTAGAGAGCTTCTCCATCAGTGCCAACAAGGTATGTGGACCTGTTTCAGAGAATCAGTGTCAGAAAAGGTCTTTCTTTACCTGCCCCTAGTTATCCCTCCAGACCCCCAACATGGTTCCTCCATCCTTTTAATAACACTGTTGAGAACATATCTGTTGGTGTCTCAGATTTTGGGGGAGGTTTGGTGAAATTCTCATGTTGTTCTTTCCTATTGTTGTCCTGGGTGTTGATTGTTGTTCATAGCATTGAATCCTAGAGGTAGTGGTTGGAAAATGTGCAAAATAAATGAGGTTGACTCAACTGGGTATAGCAATTGGCACGCAAGAACATCTGTGATTTTAGAGTGTCTGAGGCGAGATAGAAAGTGGACACAAAAGAATTCCAGTGAACAACAAACATAATACACCTGGGCACGCTTGGGCACACACACACACACATACACACACACACACACACACACACACACACACACACACACTCAAAGACGCACGGGGGTGGTCTAGATGCTCAGGTAACACAATGCAAACAAAATGCCCGACCTAGGTCAATGAGTGTGCATTGCAGGCCATTCACTCTGGTTTGGCATAGTTCACTTTGTAAATCCTTGGTGCAGTTCAAATGGGATCTGTGATCCTTAGATAGTATCTGACTTTCACAATGAACTTGTCTTTTAAGAAGTAATAAGCAGCTTGTTTGGTTTCTGTCTGGAATAAAATTTAAAGCTGTTGTAAACTCACCAAAATGAAGGGTGGACTTTGAAAGAAACAGCACTATTTCTCCCAACTATGCACACATAAAAGTTATTCTTAGTGAAATATAATAAAGCTGATTGTAGAAATGTGTGTGCTTCTCATTGGCCTTCTCTCTCTTGTACCTTGCAGGATTAGTAGACCTAAAAATAATTGGCAGTCTTAAGCCTTCCAGAGCTGTATTTTGGCAAGGTTTTTGCAAAATGCTAACTAGCTGGGTTTCTCCTACTGATTGGTAGGTGATCTCAAATCATACATCTGCATAATGACTATAATTTATGTGCTTTATTATTGAGGTTTAGGTCAAATGACTTCAGGCTTTCGATGTGCATAGCGCATTATATGCAGTAATTTCACTTCTTTTTGGATGCAGGGAGGGTGGATTAATGTATACATTCCCCCACCCCCTGGGATTATTAAAAGCCT